CGTTGTCTAAACTCCCTTATGTGCTAAGCAAATGTGTCTGTTTCTTCCTGCAATGCATTTGAATATATAGGAGCACATGTATCTGAAATTCTCACAGCTCTAAGGAGAGAAAAACTGGTAAAGTGAAGATGCGCAAAAAATAGGAATGTTATAAATATCTAATCATTAACTCTATTGACATCATGGTAAAATGTATAAGATAGCAATTTTAGATTAAAATATTTTTCCAAATGAGCACTCTTTTATACCTGGCTTCATAACTAAAATGCCTCCTGGAGCTAACTAAGTAGGTTATGTACAGGAGTTAATAGTGAACATTATTGAGTACTTATGTGCCAGACGAAATTGGAAGTACTTTTTAAAGTAGTAGCTAATTTAATCCTCACCATATCTTTTATAAGGAAAGTACTCTATTCTTCATATTCTATTGAATTTCACTTAACTTTCATTGTTGGAGGTCAAATACAAGAGAAGGCTCTCAGAATATCCTTTATCAGATCATGGCATAGCAATATGCTAATTCTCTGTGTTTTATTTATTCCTATTTATCCTTATATCCTCGCTGCCATTCCTCTCTGCCTCCCAAACTTGAGGTAAGATTCTAATATGTTCACTCTATACATTTTTGTTCAGGGATTGGTAAAATGTGTATTTTTCTACATGAATTTTTCTTTCATGTAAACAGCGTTACCCTCTAGAATTCATTCTGTTTCTAGCTTTTCAGTCAATGTTAGGCCTTTAAATTCCACCCATGTTGATATGTGTGCATTTAATTTATTGTTTTTAACTGGTGCAAAGTGCTCCATGATGAGTGCTTGCTACATTTTCCCTATCCACTCCCCCAGCTATAAATATCCAATTTGCCTCCTATTTCTGCCACCCAAAACAAATGTTCCAATTTTTGCTTCATTTGTTCCTTGTGTTCCAAATGTTCCAATAAATGTCCTAGTACATGTTCCCTTTTGTACCTCTGTGGAAATTTCCTTGGGACACACACACACACAAACAGAAGCAGAAAACTGAGATCAAAGCATATACAGTGGGGCCTTGACTTACGAGTTTAATTCGTTCCAAGACCGAGCTTGTTAAGGAGCTCGTTAAGGAGCTTGTTAACTCAAATTACTCTGTCAACTCAATGCAAAAAATCGGCGGAGAGACAGCTGGTATCTCAAAAAACTCATTAGTCGGGACACTCATAAGTCAAGGCCCCACTGTACACATATATGACTAGTTCCACGATCCCAGCAGCAATGAACTAGGGTTCCCATATCTTCACACAACTCCAATTCTAAGCACTACCCAGCTCCATAATTTTGGATTTCATACCTTTACCTAATAGCCACAAGGTTATACCATTCCCATTTTGAAAATGTGAAACCAGAGGTACAGAAATACTTCCCAAGGTCATGTAGTAAGTGATGGAACTGGGATTTCACCCAGGTGGGGCGGCCCCTGAGCCCACACTTTTAGATAACTATTCTATGCTTCCAGCCTAGAAGGCAGGAATAATAAAGCACCAGGAATTGTGATAGACTAGCGAGCACAGGCACTGCCTTCTGGCATTTAAAAACCATAAACGATAACTAAGGAATGTGGCAAAGTAAACACATCAGCGGGCAGAATTTTCCCAAAGGCCACCATGATATGATCTCTACGCTGTATCATGATTTTTATTATCAGTGGAGTCTTTGCTAAACCTGACATTAGTAGCTACAGCCAATGGTTAATAGACAGCTCCCATTGTGAGGCAAAAGTCCACTTTATTTTTCACAATGGGAAATGTCTATTAAACATCTGCTGTAGCTACAGCTACGGAGAGCACATTTTGTTTCCCATGGCTGAGTCATAATGGAAATGTGCAAATGTATGTTTGAAGTTATGAGTATGAATAGATACATTAAACTGATACTGAGACTATAAAAAAATCTTCCCCAAAACTTTTAGCAATTAAGTCTATTAGATGAATGCCAAAATGTATAATACCATTCTGCATTTTACAGGCCAATTTAGTCCAGGGCTCACACATCCTACACAAGATAGAAATAAAATCATTCATTTGTTGTGATTGTCTATAAGTCAGGAAAAGTTTCCTATTTCTCTCATGATTTAAATAAAAGGTTGGCTGAAGAAGGGAGCAATATAATTATGCTACATGAAATAAGTCAGACAGAGAAATACTACATATATCATGATTTCACTTATGTGTGGGATCTAAAGAACAAAATAAACAATGACAAACAAATAGGGAACAGACTCAGAGATACAGAGAACAGTCTGATGGTTGACAGAGCAAAGGGGGATTGGGAAGCTGGGTGAAAAAGTCAAGGGATTAAGAAGTACAAATTGGTAATTACAAAATAGTCACATGTACGTAAAGTACAGCACAGGGAATACAGTCAATAATATTGTAATCACTATGTATGGTGCCAGGCAGGTACTGGAAATATTGAGGAGAACACTTTGTAAAGTATCTGATTGTCTAATCACTATGCCGTACACCTGAAATTAAAAGAAAATAATATTAAGTGTAAGCTGTAATTGAAAAATAAATTTTAAAAAGGTACTTAGAAAACTATGGTGTCTCTCCAACACAATTCTTTAAGTCTTGCAAAAAGATGTTAAAGTTTCAAAAAGAAGAAGGCATTTCCTAATACTGCCATCTCACCCATTACAATTTTTCAGAACATTATAATATGATTTCAACCCCCATTATTTCATAGAAAATACTCTTATGAAGTCACCAATCATCTTTTAATTATGAAATTTAATAACTATTTCTTTTTATACTTTATTTTTATTGTTGACACTATTACACATGTCCCCCATCACCCCCCTTTGCCCACCTCTACCCAGCTCCCACCCCACCTTCCCTCTAGATATCACCACACTGTTGTCTGTTTCCATGGACTATGCATATATATTCTTTGACTAATCCCTTCACTTTCTTTTATCCATTCCTCCCCACACCTCTCCCCTATGATCTCTGTCAGTCATTTTGTCCCATGTACCCATGCCTCTGGTTCTATTTTGTTCACCAGTTTATTTTGTTCACTAGATTCCCATATAAGTGAGATAATATAGTATTTGTCTTCCGCTGACTGGCTTATTTCCCTCCGCATAATAATCTCTAGGTCCATCCATGCTCATCTAAACTTAATTCTCAACTTAATTTGCTCATAGCAATTACATTCTGAATAGATTCCAAAAGTTATCATTTTCTGATTCTTTTCCTACACTTACTTTGTAATTGATGTAAAATTTTTACTGATTTGGCCAGGATGGTATGGTTCAGTGGGTGAGCATCGACCTATGAACCAGGATATCATATCATCTTTCGATTCCCTGTCAGGGCACATGCCCAGGTTGCAGACTCGATCCCCAGTGGGGGGTGTGCAGGAGGCAGCCAATCAATGATTCTCTCTTATTGTTGACTAGAGTCCTGTTGCACAAAGAGATTCGTGCAATAGGCCTTCCCTTCCCTTGGCTGCTGGCACCAGTTTTCCTCTAGCACCCGGACCCAGGCCTTCGCTCTGGCTGGACTCTGGCCAGAGCCCCCGCCCCCACCAGCTGTCAGGCCTCGAGGCTCCGCTGATCCCGGGGCCAGGAGGCCTCACTGCTCAGCCAGCTTTGGGCCGTTTGGCTTCGCTCCACCGCTTGGAGCCTATGTATGCAAATTAACCGCCATCTTTGTTGGTGGTTAATTTGCATATCGCCCTGATTAGCCAATGGGAAGCATATCGAAGGTATGGTTAATTACCCTTTTTGTCTTTTATTAGATAGGATATTTCTATTTATCGGTCCCTCTCCTTTCCTCTCTGAAATAAAAAAGAA